TACTCGTAATAATTTTTGCTGCTAAAATTTCCACATTTTATTACACAACAAAGAAGAAAATGGATTACAAAGTATACAAACTAGTCTACAATAGCGTCAAATGATGACAATATCTTCTAGGTTTCAATCAACCCATAACAATTGACTCCAGAATCATAGGAATCATCCAATTAGCCTATGGCAATCCAACACAGATTTATGGGTTGCGGACTATTTCCTCCATTACCCATTTTAGGGTGCTTGATGTTGTATTTGTAGGAGAGATATCAAGTTTTTGGGTTAGTGTTGATAAAGTGTTTGATAAATTACCTCAAAGAATTTGATAAAGAAAAGGGTTTTTGGATTAGTGCAGATAATATGTTTGATGAAATGTGCCAAAGAATCCAACAAATTTTTTTCATGAAATGCCTTAAACAATTAATTAATTAATCATATTGTAAATAACCCGGATTAGTTTAGATGAAGTGTTTGATGAAACGATTCAAAGAATCCGATTAAAAAAAATAAATTGTTTTGTATGAATAGGTATCTACGATTTATGATTATTGGAGATAAGTGTATGATGAATTGCCTCAAAATCTGATTTAAAAGTATGATATTTAGGTTATGTATTAGTGAATGTAATGTGTTCAATGAAATGACACAATGAACCTGACAAACAATGAGAAGCAACTGAGGAAGTGCTACCTAGCTATGTACTGGTAATGGTAATAGATAAGGGATTTTTGGTGGTCTGATTTCAACGATTTCCGGTTGCCCTACATCCGTTTTTAAGGGCACATACAATACCTATGAGATAATGAATCACTGCCTTTCGTTGCTCATTTGAGAGGAAGAGATGGATTGCAATCCATGCTAAACGAAGATGGCGGTAGGGGTGAATATTGGTCCAGATCCGGACCAGACCTGAACCGGGTTGGACCAATTTATGCGGACCGACAATGGACCTGAATCTTTCGATCTGGGTCCGGTCCCGTCCGGGTATTTTATGTACACCCCTAGCTAGGGTGTGAACAGCGGTCTAGATCCGGATCGGACCGAACCGGATTGGACTGGTTTACGCGGACCGGCAATGGACCTGAATCTTCCGGTTCGGTTTTCGGTCCGGGTATTTTATGTACACCTCTGGATGCCGCACAAATGCAGAACGCTCTTCATTAGGATTTCAGCTAGTTCTACAGGAACTTGCAAGTTCATCTTTTCAATAATCCTGTTTGATGGGTACAAATATGTTAATTTCAAAAGAAAATATGTTCACTTATTGTACATTAAACATTAATATTTTGAAATTATATACAAGTATATGTGATTATGTTCTTTGTGAGCAAGTGAAGATATAGAGAAAATAAATCTAAAGATGATGTGTAAGAAAATAAATAGTCTTACAAAGCATATATATCTTATGATTTAACTAATCACTAACAATTTGAAGCAAATATTCCAACATGAATATGTTGTTATCGTCTATATTTCCGACTCCCAATCTATTCCATGTAAATCGTTGTCAATGTTCTCTGATCTATTAGTTTGCCACCTTAAGGCTTTGTAGACTAGCTAGTAATGACACACTATTGAGCCACCTTAAAGATAGCTACACGCACCACCATATGCATATGTTTATCACCTTACATTGTTATTTATATTTATTTTTTTGACATATGTTTAATAGACCGTATTACAAAGTATGAAGAGCCTTACTAGCTCCAAAGTTACAAAAGTTACATATATGAACTAAAAGACATCCCTGCAAGAATCTGTCGATTTGAAAAAAGTTAGACGGCATGTTCGAAGGAATTGTTAAAATTGTTACCTGTTGAAAAAAGTGGTATGATCATTTTAAGTAGCTTGCCAGATCAATACTACAGTTTGTACTGAAGACAGTAACTGCATTGGGCAAGGCTTGAGTGCGAAATTTCAAGGCTTGAGCACTTTGGTATTTAACATCCACCAATTAAAATCACATGATCGAGTGGCTATTACTGTATACCCAAATTTCATATCTTCTCAATTTAATCGTCATATTATGACTTTTATTTTACATTTGTTAATTTTACATTTGAATTTCACTATAGCGTGTTTGGTATGTGGAAAATTGGAAGTAGAGATTGATTATGGGGAATAGAGATTGAGATTAGAAATAGGAATTTATGGTTGGAAATCTATTACAAAAAAATAAAAAGACCAATTCCTTATTTGGATGCAAATGGTAATATAAGGAATATATTATTTTACAAAATTAACCTTATTAAAATTTCTGTTTGCCCATTCAATAATGGCAATTTCCTCATTTCTCACCTCTCCCAATTCTCATCCCCCAATACTTTCCTCTTGGTAATATTATGTTGGGAATAGAGGGAACAAGATAGTGCCCGTGCGATGTCCGGGGTTTTTAACTTGATACATATATTTTTTTAAAAGATTGTATTATAGAAACAAATTGTAGGCAAATTTTTAATTTGATAAATTTTAGCGTATTTGCCTTGGAAATGTTGTCATGTCATAATATTTCTATACATTAGAGAAGGAAGATCAAATGGAATATAAATGGTAGATAGTAAGAAACAATAACATAATTACCTTAGTCTTCATATTACAATTTCCGGCCCAATATTAAATATCCCACATGACCATTAGTTGTTCTATGGACAAATACATCACCTAGAATATCTTTATAATACGAGTACTTCGCACATGAAGTAATTAATAAGACTTTTGAATTATCTTTATCATCATACTATTTTTGTATCACTTTTCAAGGGCGAGAGTTATTATGCACAATAAACATGAGAGAGAAAATATTTTCAAGAAAAAAAAATTATAAGTCACTTGTGAATTTTGGTCAGGATGTGTGGGGGATTGAGAGGGAAAAATTAACTCTCATTTAGCATAGTGTAGATAGATAGATTCAAATAATACTCCATATAATAATCATTTACTCTTTAAATGTCAGTAGACCACCGGCACTGTTCTTATGAACAGTAGGACAGTGTCCTTCCGTCCATACCCTCGGCTTGGAGTGTTATTTACGGTCTTGCCATTGTATTCTGATTTTCACTGTTTTCCAGCTTCTTTTTCCTCTTTCTATTCTTCTTCTCTCTCTTCGTATTCAGTCTATCCTTTTTCTTTTCTCTATCCTTCTTCTTTTCTCTCTCAATTTGCTTATTTTTTCATTTGGGTTTTTTTCTTTTTCTTTGCTCTTTCTCCTTCGTTCGTTTGTTTGGCATTGAAGCTTATTATATGAGGTGATTTAGTGTAGATTTGTTTAGTTTTTTGGGTTTATTGATTTTTGGTCTTTACTGATTTCGATTGTTTCTGGATTTTTTGTGTTTTTTTATTTGAGTTTTGAATTTTACTGATTTCGATAGGTTTTTTTTATTTGGGTTTCTTATGTTCTTTGTTGCATGCAGTTGAACGCTTTGCTTTTGGTGAAGGCGTCAGTGAGCTGGGTGTATCTACTGTAAAGGTATTAATTCTAAATTCACAATTGATAAACTTTATCAAATCAAATTAGGGGGTTTTTCACTTGGATTTTTTTTTTCTGTTTCTTTGTTCTTTCTTCTTTGTTGTTTGTTCGGCATTGAAGCTTATTATATGAGGTGATTTAGTGTAGATTTGTTTAATTTTTTGGGTTTATGATTTTTGATTATTACTGATTTCGATTGTTTCTGGATTTTTTGTGCTTTTTATTTGAGTTTTGAATTTTACTGGTTTCGATTGTTTTTTTTTATTTGGGTTTTTTATGTTCTTTGTTGCATGCAGTTGAACGCTTTGCTTTTGGTGAAGGTGTCAGTGAGCTGTTTTTTTTTTAGATTTGGTTGAGCTAATTTAAATTAGAAAGTGTAATATAAAAACAGTGATTAAAGTGTGAGATTATATATTCTAATTGACAAATATAAAAGCATGCAATTGATGTTGGAGGTCTAACAATGGAGGATGAGGTTTAACAATGGCAATAATTAGATCTTTTGGCGGCTGTTTGCAATGTTGCATGCTTGAGAGTTGAGACGAAATGCAGGAAAGGGGAAAAAAAAACCATGCAATTGGGTTATGTATATTAGTCTTTTAATTTTGTGAGGAGTTGTAGTTGATTTGATTAATATGACAAATATAAGTGCAAGTAGTTCAGTAGTTGATGTTGAGTGTATAACATCTGAGATTTTGAGTTTCAATAATGGCAGTAGTTATATTTTTTGGCTCTTTAGAGCACCCATATACAGAATCCAGAGTGATTCCAAAATACTTGCAGCATGGTCAGAGTCTAAGTAAAGGGGTGATGCATTGATTTGATCTAATTAGTCTGTTAGTTTTGTTAATTAGGCTTTGCTTTTCACATTGAGAAACAAGTTTTGGGGCATGCTTGGGTTGTGGTTAAATAATTAGGGAGATTATTGAAAACTAAAAGAACGTTTTGTGGAGGTGATATAATTAAGGGAGGAGGAAGGGATGGGGGAATGGCTACCCTCCAAATAAGGGTAATAGTTCCCCACCAGCCCACCCAGCCTCCCCCTTGGCCCTTGAGTATATATTTCCCTAAAAATAAGGGTAACTACCTTACCTGGTGCACCTTCTCTTTAGTTTTACTTATTTTCTCCTTAGTTAATGAATTCCAACTCAAGAATACAGAAAAATAAGTTTAGACAAGGGCTATATAATCCAGAAATGAAGGTTCAATTGGTTAAGTTCACATAAGGGGAAAGGGTTACCATTTTCATTTTACAACTAAATTTTAATTTTAGACAACTTCAAATAAGATATTTTAAGGTGAAAAGAACGAAGCCAATTTCTATCATTATCTTTACCTTTGTTATCTTTCTCCATTGTCATTTATTGTACTTTCTTCTGCTGTATTTGAATGCTTCTCATGAATCTCATCTCTAGGTGATTGATTTTTCTGTGCTGTAGCTCTCTTTTGGAAGATTCCAGACAGATGAACAAGCATGGTAAGATATCATAAAACCTGTAGGAACTGTAGCTGTTGTTAGGATCAGTACGATGGATTGGCTTGGTCAGTCTCAATATACAGAACATACTGTTTACTGGTTGGCTGTTTCATCTGCTATATCAGAGGTATTTCCTCACGTTGATGCTTGAATATTGTAGAAGTTCATGGTTTATCTTTTGTCTCTGGGTCTTACACTCACTTTGATTTCATAACACCCACCACGTCTATATATATTACCTCAAATCAGAGCTGTAGGATTCTTAGGAAAACATCATCTGCTGCATCATGTTTTTAGCTATCCTTCATAACCCTTGAGAGATTTTTTTTGGGTGAAGGGTTATGAATTCTCGTTGCCTCTCAATTTTGAGTGTCCTCCTAATAGACGTAAAGCTATATAAGAAGTTTTTGGTTTTCATGTTGACTCTTTGGGGAAGGATACTGAGCAATTAATGAAAAATACACTACTCCCTCCATGCCTAAATAATTGGCCACATTTTTATTTAATAAGGCCACTATTATCTTTAATTTTGATTTTTCCCATAATATTCTTAGCTATATCCATAACAAAGAGTTTCAAACAAAAACAGTGGTGGTGGAGGTGTACAGAATATGGATAATTAAGTTGTTATTATTATAATATGGATAATTAATTGTTTGCTTGATATTGTTTATAATATTTTTTGATTTAATTAATAGCTTATTATAATATACTATTTAGAGTACTTGACATTACATAAAACAAAGATAATAATATAATAAAAAAAAGATATAAGTGTTTAATAGGCCGAATTGAATTTCTATTAGGTGTATAATTTAAAGTATTAATCACAACAAGACATAAATGAATATAATTCGGTTATAGATGTTTGATGCTAATAAAGTTATTTTTGCATATGAAGTTCGGTAAAGGTGTCGAAAGAAAAGTACTCGACAGTGTGTAAGAAACATATGATATTGAGTTGGCTGGTAATCTCTTCCTCAGTTTTATCTTTTACTTCTTCTTCTCTTTGTTCTTCCTCTTGTAATTATGAAGATTAACAATCATCCGGCCTTACGCACAAGGATATGGAATGACTTATTTATTTAATACATCAATGTCATTGGAAGAAAAGTGCTTCACAAAGTGTAAGAAACATATGATACTGAGTTGGCTGGCAAACTCTTCCTCGGTTTTTTCTTTTACTTCTTCTTCTTGTTCCTCCACTCCTTACTCTTTCTCTCCTTCTGTGTCTCTCTTAATCTTTCTTTTCTTGCTTTTTCTTTTTCTGTTTTATCTTTTTTCTGCATTTTCTTCTTTGTCACTTTCTGATTGCTCAGTATCTTCCTCACCTTTCTGAACTTCGCTCCACCTTCGCCAACATTCCCTTGACCTTGCTGCACCTCCCCTGACCTTGCTCCACCTTCGTCAGCACTCCTCAAAATGGGTGATAGACAAAAATTGGTTTAAGAATAGAAAAATATTCTGTAGTGAAAACAATGACCATTTACTTTAGAAAAATTAACTTTGAAGTGATTAATAGGCAGCTGAATCTTTTTATTTTTAATCCAATTCTCGTGTCTAGCCATCGGGACATGTTTCTTCTTTGCTAGATTCGCGCGCGCCATATAGGGGACATGTTTCTTTTTTGCTAGATCTGATTAAGTGTTAATTAGTACAATATCTGTTGGGAATTCCCGTTAAGCTATAGTTCATTTGCATTATATAAGCCCATCTGCCTATTTAACCTCATTAGAAGTAGTATAAAAGGGATAGATGCTAATTTTGTATGCATTAGGATATGGAACGACTTATTTATTTAAAACGTCAATTTCATGTATGAGGATGGTTGTGATGTTGTAGGGAAAGGTGTCGGAAGAAAAGTGTTTGACAAAGTGCAAGAAATATATGATACTGAGTTGGCTGATTAATCTCATTAAAAGGAGTTAAAAAGGGATAGATGCTAATTTTGTATGTGGTAGGATATGGGACGACTTATTTATTTAAAACGTCAATCTTATATATGAGGATGGTCGTCCTGTTGTAGGGAAATGTGTTGAAAGAAAAGTGTTTGGCAGAGTGCAAGAAATATATGATACTGAGTTGGACTTTTCAAATGTGTGTCAGAAGACTCACATTTGAATAGATTTGGTTTGAATTTGAATTTGAATAGAGTTAATCAATTATGAATTCAGAAAAAAAGAAGAATAATGTAACATACTTGTAGAGGATTATGAAGTGACGAAAGAATAATACCAGATGGAATTAGCCTAAACTAAGAAAAATCAAACAAAGATTGGTTTTATCCAACTATCCTATATCGTAACAAAGACAACCTTGGAGTAAAGCTCATAAAATATTGGGCTATCAATTATTGGTTTTGTCCAACTATCTCTTTTTAATCAATTATGAATTCAGAAAAAAAAAGAAGAATAATGTAATATACTTGTAGAGGATTATGAAGTGACGAAAGAATAATACCAGATGGAATTAGCATAACTAAGAAAAATCAAACAAAGATTGGTTTTAAACAATTATTGGTTTTATCCAACTATCCTATATCGTAACAAAGACAACCTTGGAGTAAAGCTCATAAAATATTGGGCTATCAATTATTGGTTTTATCCAACTATCCAATTATTGGTTACTTAGGATGGTTGTCCTGTTGTAGGAAAAGGTGTCGGAAGAAAAGTGTTTGACAAAGTGCAAGAAATATATGATACTGAGTTGGTTGGCAAACTGTTCCTTAGTTTTTTCCTTTACTTCTTCTTCTCTTTGTTCCTCCACTCCTTTCTGTTTTCCTTCTTCTGTTTCCCTCTTCTTTTTCCTTTTAAATTTTTCCCTTTTCTTTTTCTGCATTTCCTTTTTCTCCACTTTTTTGATTGTTCAGCATCTTCCTCATCTTTCTGAACTTCGCTCCACCTTTGCCAACTCTCCCTTGATGTCGCTGCATCTCCGTTAAGCCATTTCATTATTGAGTTTTAAACACTTTCATTAACAGCTTCTGGTTCCAATTGGTCTTTTCAAAGGTGTGTCCCAAGACTCACATCTCAGAAACCTTGCCCGATGAGCGCCAACTATCCTTGACCTTCACTTCGCCCTTTGATTGTTCGGCATTGAACTATCTTTATGTTGTCTGTAAGTTACTGCCTTGTTTTGTATTCTTTTAAATACCTTTTACGATATAGGATACTGGTTACTTAGGCTGGAGTTTCAGTAGCCTGTTTTTTTTTTAGCTTTACTCTAAGGTTGTCTTTGTTATGCAAAAACTTGTTCATTCGCATTATTATAAGCCCATCTGCCTGATTAACAGCATTAGAAGTAGTTAAAAAGAGATAAATGCTAATTTTGTATGCACTAGGATATGTGACGACTTATTTATTAAAAATGTCAATCTCATGTATGAGGATGGTCGTCCTGTTGAAGGGAAAGGTGTTGGAAGAAAAGTGTTTGAAAAAGTGCAAGAAATATATGATACTGAGTTGGCTGGCAAACTCTTCCTTCGTTTTTTTTTAACTTCTTCTTCTCCGTGTTCCTTCACTCCTTTTTCTTCCTCTTCTTTTGTTTTCCACTTTCTTTTCCTTTTATAGTTTTTTCTTTTCTTTTTCTCCATTTTCTTCTACTCCTCTTTTCTGATTGTCCAGCATCTTTGTCACCTCCCTGAACTTCGCTCCGTCTTCGCCAACTCTTCCTTGATGTCACTACACCTCCCCTGACCTTGCTCTACCTTTACTGCACTCCCCAAAATGGATGACAGACAAATATTGGTTTTAAAATAGCAAAAGATGTTGTAGTAAAAAAATGACCATCTACTTTAAAAAAAAAAACTTTGGAGTGTTAACTAGGCAGCTAAATCTTTTTGTTTTTTGTCCAACTGTCGTGTCCAGCCATAGGGACATGTTTCTTCTTTGCTAGATCTGAAAATGTATAGATCCATCTTAAGGTTATGAAAGTGTACAGGGTACAATTAACCTCATTCATTTTTTTTCCTCTAACATTTATTATTCCCCAAAATGGGTGACAGACAAAGATTGGTTTTAAAATAGCAAAATATGCTGTAGTAAAGAAATGGCTAGCTACTTTAGGAAAAATAACCTTGGAGTGATTACTAGGCAGCTAAATCTTTTGGGTTTTTTTTAAGGTTATGAAATTGTTCAGCATAAATCAAAACAATGAAAGATCTTGTATGGCTCTTTTACATAAAACTTCTATTAAATTTACATATAACTTAAAAGCAATTGCAAATATTTTACTTATAAAGAATATTGTTAATAAAATACATTGATAATATATATACTAATTACAAATGTACTGTAGGGTGATGTGGTTGCCTTTCAAGCAATTGAACAAAAACTCAGGAAAAATACAACATTCTTCAAACTCAGTCCATCTAATTCCCTAGGTTCAAGCAGTGTTTTAGAATGGTCACTCAAAACAATTGAGACCGTTGAAGATGCATCCAAAAAGGATTTAACAAAATCAACTGTTGCAAGAAGTGAAGAAATTGAATATTCAGATTTAAATATGAATGTGGAATTAACACCAACCAAGCCCTATGTGAGTACTTCAGTTAATAAAGAAGATAATGTTACAGCTACATACGAAGATTCAACAGATTCAAAAATAAGAGACAAAGGGAAAGATAAAATTTCAGAAACAACTTTCTGTAAATTCTCATTGCCATCAAAAGGTATCAATTCTAACACATATTTATTATAAAATAAGCTCTCTAAATTATGCATGGTAATTCTTGCAAATTAATACACCTATACCCCTATTTCCAGGTATTGTTATAGCTGATGAAGGCCATCGAATTGCTGACAGAAACATGAAAAACAAGCCCCTGAAACATTCAACTGCCGATACACCTGCTACTGTGAATTCTCCTAAGGTTTCACCTGCTGAGTGGACAACACTCTGTCGCACACGCAAGAGTGGAGACAAACTGTCTCCAATGACTCCAGTACAAAATGAAGACACGAAACCTAACTCGGTTTGTGAACAAAGTGTTGTTCGAAAAAAACTCCGTCTCACAACACCACAATCTGTTGAAAATGAAGATCATGACTCTGCCACCAAGGACCCAACTAATGCTGTACCAGACAGTGATGCAAAAACGTCTACACCCAAGAATGATCATGTCACAGATCTTTGAAAGATATTGGCAGGAAATAAAAAAAAACAGCAATGTATATAGGTAAATGAACTAGCTACTATGAAAAACTTCAAAGGTGTGGTACCGTCACCCCCTTTTTATGAAAAAAAAATTGCTTGCATGATAATTACATCAGTGACATCTATTAAACATGAGGAGAAAAAATCCTCTGTATCTTTTGTATTGCTCCAGCATTGCATTAAAATAAGTTTAGATGAAGGTAGAATATCCAATGTAAGCAGTGCTGTTGAGTTAAATCTTTTGAAGAATTTTCTAAGAACATGTACAATAGTTAATGTTCCTGGAAAACACTACAAAGGGTAGTATGTTGATTATTAGAAAAATACACTGATGTAATGTTCATTCATAAATCAACATATATAAAATATAAATATTATGCTAAATTAAAAGTTTTTATGATTATATTTATCCCAAAATGCAAAATATAAGAAAATGAGTGTTTTTTAGTATATACTTTTCAATCAATAGACAGGATACAACTTTACAGCCTCCGGCTGCTATTTTTTTACTTCAGCTTCATTAGTGGTCAATGATCCCTGTAGGACGTAGAAAGCAAGAATTAGTTATCGGAGACAGACAGACCTGTAAAACAGCAGTAGCCACAAATACGATTCGCAACCAACAAGGACAAAATGTAGTATGTGTTTATGTAGCTATTGAACAAAAAGCATAAAAGAACAATTATGCAAATAATAGCAATTATTTCAAAACATAAATGACCACCTTATGAACTAAACTGCTCCTATGAATTGGGCGTTGCCTTCAATCTGAAGTTAAGCTATAATGTTAACTTTATTCACTTGCTACAAAAAATAGATTTACCAACTTCTTTCTAATAACGTAATTTAAATCACATCTTCCTCATATAATAACTTAGAATGCACAATTTCCCTCTTACATTGCCTTTTAATACTTTAAATTCTTACAACATACACACTATGTAAACATAATTATCGTGTAACAAAACCGCCGGATACAATCCTTACTAACAATAACCGCCGCCATTGGGGTGCCGCGCGCGAAGCGCGCGGGACCACAACTAGTAATAAATAAATGTAATCAATATTCTAAACAAATTTAATGGTTCACCCAAAAAAAAAATTTAAAAAAAAAGAGAGAAAAGAGAAGAGTTTAGGAGGATAATTCCCTCCAAAAAAGATTTCACTTTAATTTAGAGTAATAGATATATTCTCAAGGCAATTCCCCCCAACCTGCTGTATGCCTGTATCCCAAATTTCCAGTCCCAGAAACAAACTTGGGTCATGGGAGTTCCTTTTACATGTGATTAAAAGTCCTACTGCCCTAAACTACCCCAACTCATATTAAACACCCCTAATTTAAGTATATTATTACCGCCTCCTTTACATATTAGTTGCAACTTTTATCATTTAGGGGTGTTACACATTAGTTGTAACTTTCCATTTTTTCCCTTTTTTAGTAAGTTTTTTTCAATGAAAGTATAAAAATAACCTTACTGAAGAGTTCATAAACACAATTAGTTACCTAAATCAAATTTCATTAAATTCCTAATCTAACTTATTTAACAAAATATTGTCATCCAAAAATATCAACAACCATCAAAGATCATTATCTCCCATCTTCATCTTCCACCAACAAATCAGACCACGACATCACCCACCTTTACCGTTGCTGTCACTATATCTAACCACTACCTTCAACGTCGTCGATGCTCATCACCACCGTCAAAGTCGCCTCCTCCTCCTCCCGTGTTCCTTTTTCTCTCTCTCTTCTTTTTTCTTTTTTAATTTTGAAAACAAATTCGTTCAGCTCTAATGGTTTGAGGGGTGGATGGGCTAGTTTGGGGTGGCTCGAGGCGGTTTATGGGTGAATTAGAGTGGTTTCGTGTGGTTTAGGGTGAGTAGGGCTAGTAGGGGCGATTTAGGGTGAATGTGGGTGGATTTGGGGGTGAATAAGGGTGGTTGTTATGGGATGGTTTGCGCTGAGAAGGTACGGTTTTGAGGTTGTTTGAGTTTAAAAGGGTGGTTTTAATGTGGTTAGAGCTAATAGGGGGTGATTTTGGGGTTGTTCAGGTAGAGAGGGAGTGGTTTTACGGTTGTTCGTGTGTGTGGGGGTGGTTTTGGGCTGGTTCGGGTTGAGATGCGGTGGTTTCAGGGTGTGAGGTGGGTGGTTTTGAGGTGGCTGTAGTTGGCCGATGGTGGTGCGGTGGGTGTTGTTGGTGGTGGTGGTTAATTTATTAATTACCTTTACTTTCTCTCTCCTAACTTGCTTAATTTCCTATCTTTAATTCATTAATCAACCATTATGAAATTTTGTCTTAAAATCCGTGTCGAGCTCAAAGTTACAACTAATTCGAAACGGAGGTAGTACATTAAGTAAAATCCAAATGAATGACAAATAACGCGATTAAACTAGGACAAAAAAAGCGAGTCAGAAAATTTTATTATACCAATAATTAATCTGAATGATAAGGAACTGACCCGACCCTTATATTACATACTTCCATTTGCTCATATGCTCATATAATGGAAAAATATTCTAACTAATAAGCAAAATAAAAATCTTTATGACATCTCACTATTGATAGGCTCATATAATGTCCCTAATATAACACTTTCGAGGTTTGTTCATATATTTGACGAGCTTAACATTTTTGTTCAAGCTTGTTTGTTAGCTTAACAAACGAGAACGTATCAGCTCATTTACACTCCTAACCATACCTAACTTCACATAAAAGACCTAAGCCAACTATGTCTCGATCAACTAAAATCCCAAACAAACATTCTATCAATAGTTAGCTTTCGCAATGGGGTTTTTGGCTGTCGTAATTGGCTTTCACAACGGGAAAGTATTCGACGGAAAATCTCGTCATAAATATATAGTCTCTTACAACGGGTATATAACGGGACTTTCCATCTTTAATGGGCTTTTTCTTGTAATAAAAAAAATGAGTCCTTTTCTACCATGCAATTAATTAGAAAAAAAATAAAAATAGAAGGAGTCCTAGACTCTTAGCCGTCCTAGAGCCCTACTTTATAAACTTATAAAAAATTTAGTTCATGCACGTAAGACCACTTTTAATGGTGGGCAAAAAAAATGCTTGTTCAATATCTCTCTACCCACTTTCTCTCTCAACAAATCAGTTTTGTCTATGGGCAATTTTTTTTCACAATTTCTCTCCCAATGATGAGCAAAAATAATGCTTGCCCACCACTCTCTCTCTTACTTTTTCAATACCCCACCATTACTTTTTCTCTCCTACACAACACTTCTTTATTAATTAATTTGATTTATATTTTAACAATATTACTCTAAAAAAATAAAAATATACCAAAATGCATGTCTATTTATAAAAATAAAGAATATGGAGGATTTATGGTATTTCTGAAATTATAGCAAAATATACCAAAATGCATGTTTATTTATAGAGAATTAAATTTTATGACCATTGGTAATTTTTTTTTTAATAAATATTTTTTTCAGAATTTGCATTACAAAAATTATAACCGAAATTTTTGTAATTGCATCAGCAAATAAGTGGGGCCAACAGCTTACTATTCATCCCAATTTTTGCCCAAATCTTGGGCAAATTAATACATGCCCATGGGCAAGTTATCTTTAGCCCACCATTGTAAGGCAACTAATGACATACTTGCCCACCAAAATGCCCTAAGCATTATTTTTGCCCACCATTATAAGTGCTCTAATGTTACAACCCAATTCAAAGTTGTACAACTCTTACTCTTTCAAAGTTCAAACATGCATATGGCAGCCTTAACAGTTTTGATTCTTGGGGTGTGGGCCATAATTTACCACTCAGAAGCACAAAATTTGCCAAAAATCTTAGAGAGGAGTAGTTCTCATTATAACTCCATTTCTGAAGATCTTACTATTTTTGAGTATGGAAAATTTGAGGTGACTAAACCTATTAAGGTGGAAAAGATCGAGTTTTATGCTCCGGAGCCTTTGCTCGTTGTTTCACCTAAATTTCAATGGAGATACGTTATTGGTACTTATTAGTAGTACTTGGTATATGTTTTGGGATTTCATGAAAAATTATGAAATTTCATTATATTAGAATCTACTTTTACAATTTCAGACCTTATTTATTTATTAAACAATAAAAATATAAAAAAAAAACCCACCTAATTCTGGGTATAATCATGAGTAAAATGGATATTCAGCAGAGTGTTTAGTTTTCTTAGTAATATTGTTTCCTAGAAGTATTTTTTTAAATTTATTTTTAGGTCATATTTATACGATTCGTATATGATCATATACTTATTGCGTGGACATAATCTTTCTTTTTTTTTTCTTAACACAGCTCTTCTCAATAATCTACTTCCCTAGTCAAGAAGATGAGATAGAAATGGCAGCTTCAATAGCAAACTGGCTACCTACAAATCTACAAGACGTGTTACAAACACGTGTCAACGAAGGAGCGGATGGCACTATATACAAACTAGCAATATCCGGTCATAGTAGAGGAGGAAAATCAGCATTTACTCTTGCACTTGGATTCTCCAAAACAAAATTATCAGTCAAAATTTCATCACTTATTGGCATAGACCCGGTTGCCGGGTCTAGCAAAAATGACCGTACACAACCATACGTTCTAACATACGTGCCCAGCTCGTTTAATTTATCGATACCTGTCACGATAATTGGCACTGGATTTGGTAACCAATCCAACTTCTTCCTTCAACCTTGCGCCCCAAATTTAGTGAACTATCAACAATTTTTCGACGAGTGCAAGGAAGGTTCACATTTTGTGATCACGGACTATGGTCATATGAAAATGTTGAATGATTTCGTGTATGATCCGGTTGCGAGTGCTGTGTCACTTGTGTGTAAATCCGGGAGTGGTCTTAAAAGTACGATGAGAAGAACACTAGGTGGGATTATGGTGGCTTTTCTTGACGCGTATTTTGGAGATGAAAAAGGACAGTATTTAGCCATTTTGGCTAATCCTTCTTTGGCTCCTACTAATCTTTACGTCCAAAATAAGGGCAACTTTAGGTTACCAGGAAATTATGATCCAGTTTAATGGATGTGGTCGATCGTATCATATGGTATGTGATGTGTGTTGATGTCTTTTGCCCTACTTGTAACAAAATAATTAGCAGTATTGATGTAATTATTTTGTCAATTATGTCTCATAGTAACGTTAAAAATTGTCTTTCTATAGATTACAAGCTAGCCTACCAACTCAAATAATTCATGAATTGAATTTTGTGATTTCATTTTGTTGTATTATTGTACAAACTTCCGTACTCTACGAAATATAAAAATAAAAAACAATCGTGATGATTTTATACTTCTTCGCTTGATCCAACATAAATCTAGTCAATTACTACAACGTATCACTCGTAATACTATTATACTAATAGAAGTGTTACTCTCTATAATCACTCGAGATTAATGTCAACTGATCAAGATTTGTGGTGCGTTTGTTATGCAATTATATCTTATATATATGCATCAATTATCATTTACGAGTATATCATGATTATCGGTTATGAAAGTTGAATTTACAATTAAAATAAGTTCTAATAATAAATTCATATAAGTTTAGATTAATGATAAAAAAATTACATAGGAAAACATACACTGAGACAAAAACAAAGGGAAAAAATTTATCATTGTTTGATTGATGAGTTAAAACCGAAAAAGACGCATAATCATATCTGCACGAAATGTGTTATCATTTAATATTAATTTTTTTTTCATCAAATATCTAATTTTAACAATTTTAATTGGAAAATTCTAAATAATAGCCTTCAACTTTAAACAAATTTATATGATGGCAAAGCCAAACAATTTCTTCTATAAAGTGTGTTTTCATTTTATTTTTTTTTTATTTTCTTTTATTTTTTGGCTCTTAGATGGATCTTTTATGGGCCTTGTCATGGACACATTCAGATCATTTTAGTATTTTACGTAACAGAAGGTTTTACACCTCCACAAAACGTTAAGTAAATCATTATCATGCATTAATAATGGATAAACATGATGTTGCATTACAATCACTAATCAGTCTCATACTCTCATACCAGGCCACCTCTTTTAATTTTCTCCATACAATTTGGATTTCACAATGAATTCGAGCGTCATCTATATCCTTCATTTTCATTTAATTTGTTCATCATTTCACCTTATTTAAAAATAACATAAATTAAGAAATTGGGTCTCTTTCTTTCTCTCTTTAGACTGCATTAATTTTTTCGGGCTGTATAAAGATTGCGATAACATGCATAGCAACTGTTGTGGAACAAAAGTATGGTGACCTTAGCCCCTAAAAGAAAAGAGGTTCTATTTATCAAACTTTTTTTTTTTTTTAATTTTTACATAAAGTACTTTTGAAATTACATATCTTTATATCATTATTAATAATATATAAAATTATTAAAATATAGAAAGCCCTTTGAAAAAAAAAAGCAAATTAAAATAAAAAAAATAGGAGACTTTTAGGTGCTATATATATGATGGTTCATGCAAAGTATAATCCTCAACCATATGCAAAGAAACTCATAAGATATAGCTAGCTAGATAATATAATGGCAAAGTTATTTTTGTTAATTTTTGGGGTGTTCATCTTTATTCACTCACAAGCTCAAACTTTCCCAACAATATTAGAAAAACTTAATTCAGAAAAAATTACTGTTTTCCAAAAGGGTAATTTTCAAGTGACAAATAAACCAATTAAGGTGGAAAAATATGAATTTTCTGCTCCAGAACCTTTGATCATTTTTTCACCTAAAGAAGTAGGAGTTTATCCTGTTCTATTGTTTATCCATGGCACCATGCTTTCTAATGAAGACTACTCTGAATTCTTTAAACATATTGCTTCTCACGGCTTCATCGTGGTTGCTCCTAAGGTACGTATATCACAAACTTATTAACTGTGCGTTTGATTTTCTTACGCGTCTTGCTCTTTTCACCTGATTTCTATTTAAATATAGATATTTTATTATTGATAATTACTTTAAATAGATAATACTAAACTATACTTGTATTAATGATTATTGATTTAAGTGATTGTTGCACTATTGTTACTTTAATCTGTTATACAACCTCCGAATATTATTAGTTGCAACTTTGGAATATTTTATATCTCATAAATAATACCCCAAAATTGCAACTAATAATATACGAAGGTAGTATATACCAATCTCACATTGAAGAGGGGCATGATGGTCATTATAATATGCTCCATTGGTCACAAGACTCACAAGTCACAACATAGTTCCGGTGACCACTGATCAGGGCGTGGCTTAAGAGCTTTAAGACAGTATAATGACCAACGTACCCTTTTCTATAATTACTACCTTTGTTTCATACTTTTTACAACTTTGTAGTATTTTATATCTCACAAATAATACCCCAAAGTTGCAAAAAATATGAAACAAAGGTAGTATTTAAATATTGCTGGAAAAAAAGGGCATGCATATTTTATGTGCTTCATTTGTATACCCTAATCCACTTTTTGTACTTCACAACTTCAATTCATTAAATCATCATCACTAAAAACTCCGATTAATTAAAATTGTATCATTGATCACATTGCTTTGACCGAAATACTTTTATAAATGTACATACATGTCAATATGTGATGCACAAAATCTAACTACGGTATAATTAAACATTAAGGCCACTCCTACACTACTACATACGTGTGTGAGTACTTGTTATCATGTCATGCTTGTAAGAATTGTAATTGTAACCTTAATCTTTATCATTATTATATTTAAGTGAGTAATTAATGATTTCAAATTCATTCCTCAGTTGTTCCGGATATTCCCGCCTAAACTACCTAGTCAACAAGATGAGATAGATATGGCAGCATCAGTGGCAAACTGGATGCCTCTATATCTACAAGTGGTGTTACAAAAATACGTTGCCGGAGTTGAAGGTGATCTCGAAAAACTCGCAATATCCGGTCATAGTAGAGGAGGAAAATCGGCATTTGCTCTTGCACTTGGTTTCTCCAATATCAAGCTAGATGTTACATTTTCAGCACTAATTGGTGTAGACCCTGTTGCTGGTAGACGTGTAGATGATCGAACATTGCCATATGTTCTAACCTACAAACCCAACTCGTTTAATTTATCGATTCCAGTCACGGTAATTGGCTCCGGATTTGGTAACCACACCATCTCATGCGCTCCAAATTACGTGAACCATCAACAATTTTATGACGAGTGTAAGGAAAATTCGTCGCATTTTGTGATTACAAAGTATGGTCATATGGAAATGTTAAATGAGTTTAACTTAAGTCCTATAGCCGTTTCTATGTCAATTATGTGTGCACAAAGTTACGGTCCGAAAGCTACCATGAGAAGAACACTAGGTGGAATCATGGTGGCTTTTCTTAACACCTATTTTCGAGACGATGGAGGGCAATATTACGCCATTATGGCTAATACATCCTTGGCTCCTACTAACCTCTTTGTTGAGAAAAAAGGCAACTTTGGGTTTGCACTAACTTATGCTCAAGTTTAATGCTTAATTTACTCTTACAGTTTCATGTGATGTACGTGTATGTACTACGTTACACCTTACACTACTCCTCGCTAGCCTTGTTTTAGCTAGTGAATAAGTAATTAGTAACATTGTGATTTGCTTATTAAGAACATCTTGCATGTATTAGGCCAGGTTGATGACTAAAGGCCTTCAGGGTCATCTTATGTAACCAATCGTGACTTTCAGCATTAAAAATAATAAGATCTATGGTGTGATGTTAGAAAATCTTCCTTTTATTTATTGTACTCCAATAGCTAGTTCAATTAATTCTGAATTTCTAGTACTATACACTCTTTCTGTCTCACATACCTTTAACTGTACCTACTTCTATGTACAATCAGGTGCATGTAAGAATAATATCTCAGCTATTGGAGATCAAATTAAAGAGATATTATAGCTAGATGCAATCACGTTGAGAATGGTAGCTAGCCAAATAAGATCCTATAAATATTTGTACCTTTAATGTGCATATATACAATCACATTGAGAATGATAACCAAATATGATCCTATATCTTTAGCTTTAATTTACCATACATGACCATAAAATAAGCTAATGGTCCCCCTCTATTAAAAGCCACCCTTACACGGACTACGTGTCTACGTGCATGCATGATAATAAAGAGTATTGTACGCATGCATTCTCATTGTCTTTATAAATGTTGAAAATATTGAAGGCTTTCTGGCACCCAAAAAAAAGAGGGGGAAAAAAAAAACATTTTATCTAAAGTAAAATTTGTCAATTACTACCTCAAAAAAGGAACCTTAGTAAATTACTACCCTAAAAGAAAAGTAGTTAATAACAACCCTAAAATTGATTAATTTTAGCAACTACTATGATCCTAAGCAGCCTACCTAAGCTCTTAATGACATCATTATCCGTCCAAATTGTAATTAGTGGCTTTTAAACATTGATTAATTAAATAAACCCTTGCACCACCTCCACACCATCATTGCACAACGTCCAACAACCCCCCTTACCACCTCTGGCAGCTCCCCCACCATGAAACCCACTCCCCTCTCAATCCCCCGCCACGAAACCCACCCCCTCTTGTTCCCCTACCACGAAACCCACCCCCTCTTGTTCCACCACTACCACGATTCCCACCGTTCTCCATCCGCTCCCCCACCACGAAACTCATCCCCTCCCCCCCCCCCGTTCCGCCACAGCGAAACTCACCCCCATCACGTGGCTAGCATGTTTTCAAGAGCTGGGGAAGGGAATGGGATGGGTTTTGTGGGTTGGGGCAAGGGGAGGGGCGGTAATTGCAATGGGGGAGCAAGATGGGGGTGGATTTCGTGGTGGGAAAACACTACAAGAAAACTGTCTTTTCGTAGCGATTATTTTGTAATGATTGTACATTCGCTACAATATGCATGTATGTTTGTGGAATAGTAGAGGAAATTGTATCATTGTACAATCGCCATGGTAATCCCATATAAAATCGATATGAAAAACATAATAACACATATCCACCCTTTATTTATTTGCACATTTATAAAATTATGGAAAATCGTATCGTTTATAATCGCCACTAAAACCCAAAAATCGATACAAAAAGCCCTTTCTACGCTAGATATACAAAATTTGTTTGACAAAGAATACATAATATATGTCATATCTTATTGGTAAAACATTTAATATTAGAGCTTGATTTTTTGTGTTCGAATCTTGTAAAGATCATATGTATTATTTTTTTTTTTTTTGAAGAAAATGACTTCAACATTTATAGCGATTATAATTGCTACGATAATCACCACGATTGGATGTAGTTTTTCGTATCGATTATTGAGGACAACCCCAACTATATCGAAAAACACTACTAAAGGCTATGGTAACGGCGGATATTGTATCGAATAACTATTCGTTGGGAAAGCTTTTTGTAGTAAATACAACCGGTACTAAAGGTTAGAATAATCGCCATGAAAAGGTAATTTTCTTGTAGTGAAATGGGAGGGAGTGGTTCTCGAGGTGGGGGGACAGGAGGGAGGTGGGTTTCACGATGGGGGAATATAGGAGGGGGGTAGGTTTCATGGTGAATGACCAAGAGGGGGGTGGATTTCGTGGTGGGGGAGCTGCCGGAGGTGGTAGGGAGGGGGGCTGCCGGAGGCGGTTCTAGCGCCACTAATTATAATTTGAACGGATAATGATGTCATTAAAAGTTTAAGTAGGCTGATTAGGGGAAAAGGTAGTAGTTACTAGATGGAGTAATAATTAACAACTTTTTTGTTAGGGGTAGTAATTTACAAAGGCCCCTTTTTAAGGTAGTAATTGACAAATTTTTCATAAGTAAATAGACCAAAAAGCTACGAGTTGTAGAAAATTAGATATTGCTTGAGGGTAGTTTACAAGGAGATACAAAGTACATTTAGCTACTTTACAAAGGCTATTATATATATTGGCATGGATTGATGGCTTAGGCCTTGTTTAGTTCAACTTATTTTTACTTATTTCAGAAAAAAAAAATTCAGATCAGATCAGAAAAAATAAGTTCAGATCAGATCAAATAAGAAAAAATAAGTTCAGATCAGATCAGATCATCGTTTTATGTGGAGTTTTTTATAGCTAAATATCTTTAATTTCATAATGAAAAAAATTATGAAAATTACATATTAATAAAATACACATTATTACGAATCTAACAAGATCCTACTTAATGTATTTTTCCTTTATAGATTATTGTACACTTAAGGTCAAAGTTTGGTCAAATATGACAATCAGATTAGATCAGATCAGATCATGTCAGAGCAGACCAGATAAGCAAAAATAAGGTGAACTAAATAAGGTGTCACATCCATACATTAATTGATAGATATTATAGTGCTTTTCAATTTTTGGGTCACAACTCACAAGCATATTCTGTGAGAGTAAATGGATTGGGTATTTCAATAAAAGATATTTACATGCTATATACATTACAAGCCTAAGGCACTAATAGCAGGTAAGATACAACTAACTAAGCAAACTAATCACAAAGTGTTAAATTGAATGAACATAATAGCTTAAATCTCATTGATGGCTGCCATGACAAATATATAATACAAGTTTACCCTAATGAGATAGAATTAGGAAACTAACAAAAGATAACCAAAAGATATTCTAGCCATAAAATATGGTCACAAAATATATCCTATAATTTCCCAAAATATATCCTCAATACCCCCCTCAAGTTGGAGTATGGGGATAAAAAATGCTCAACTTGGAAAGAAGGTAATCATACCGAGTCTTCCCAAGTGCCTTAGTAAAAACATCCGCCAATTGCGCCTTAGTGGAAACATAGGATGAGCAATTAAGCCCTATGTAATAGCATCACGAACAATATGACAGTAAAAAAATCAAGTAAATTAAACAATTAAACTCAATACCATTGTCACTTTGCACAACTTTAATTGTCTGGGAAAATTGTATGTCTACCATAGCAACAAACGATAAAAACATACGAAACACCTCAGTTTTATCAATCAACAAATATATCCACACTGCTCTAGAATAGTCATCAACAATTTTCAAAAAAATAACGAGTTCCGCACGACAAAACATGACGATATGGACCCCATAAATCATAATGAAGTTTCTAAGATATTCTAGACGCTTTATTATCATTTAAAGGAAATCTATCTCTAGGATGTTTTGCACGCATACAAACTTCACACCCCTTATCAAGACTATCTTTGCAATTAACAGTAGGAAGCAACTTAACTACTTTCTCGGAAGGATGACCCATACGACGATGCCATAACTCCAAATTAGACCTTGCGACAATAGCACCCACATGATGCACGGAATCCGATTTGCTAAAATAGTACAATCTGTCCCTCCGAGCTCCCGTTCCAATCAACTCATTCGTTTGATCCTATGTAGCACACATATATGAGTTAAATTGGACAATACATACAATTAAGCTCATCATTAAGCTGTGAAATAGAAAGTAAATTACAACTCAAATTAGGGACATAGAGCACCCCAGTTAGAGTGATTTTGTCCGACAAACGAATAGAACCAATAAGAGAAGTCAATACTGTTTCACCGCTCAGTAACCCTATAGGACATTCAAAGCTCTTTGTATCAAAAAGCCAAGATTTTTCTCCTGTAACATGATGCGTGGCTCCTATATCGATAATCCAAGAGGTATCATCAAACTCATTATTCGAACAATTTTCGAAAATTTTGGTATTACCCACCAAACTTGTAATTGTATGCCATTGTTCACTTGGAAATAATTGGCCATTCGAACTCATAATCTGATTGTTGGCAAATGTAGCACTACTATTGCACTCATAATCTGGTAGCGGTGGATTGCTGCCCTCCACCAGGTTCACCGAAAAAAAATGTTTTGTGTTTTTATTTATTTATTTATTTATTTATTTATTTTGTAAAAAAAAAATTAAAAAATTGAACTTGATACCATGATTTAACCTGCTCTTGATACCGTGCTAAATTGAATGAACATAATAGTTTAAATCTCATTGATGGCTACCATGACAAATATATAATACAAGTTTACCCTAATGAGATAGAATTAGGAAACTAACAAAAGATAACCAAAAGATATTTTAGCCATAAAATATGGTCACAAAATATATCCTATAATTTCCCAAAATATGCTAAATTGAATGAACATAATTGCTTAAATCTCATTGATGGTTACCATGACAAATATATAATACAAGTTTACCCAATTGAGATAGAATTAGGAAACTAACAAAAGATAACCAAAATATATTCTAGCCAAAATATACTTCACAAAATATATCCTCAATACAAAGTCAAGGTAATATACTTCACAAATATAGACTATAGACCTATAGCTTAGTTTGGTTTTTTTTTTTTTTTTTTTTTTTTTTTTTTTTTTTTTTTGAAATAGACTATAGCTCAGTAAATTGTTAGTTTAATCACTTTAATCAAGGAGATGGCCTGGAGTATGATATTAACCTATGATTTGCATATCAAGAATAATATCATGATGTGATATCATTCTCTACATGCCCCGCAAGACCAAAGACGGATCGGAAAGTCTGATATTGGTGATTATTGCATCCAACTTTTGAACTGGTTTTGTTAGTTAGGAAGTCCGCTAGTCATCCGTTGAGACATGAGTAACACGAAGAGCACCCTTGTTCACACATGAAGTAAAATGTTAGTGCAACATGTTTCATTTTAGAATGGAACACCAGATTTGCACTTAAGTAGCACTTTAGTTGTCACAATAGATGACTGGGGGTGCTTGATATTTGAACTGG